GGCGTTCCCGAGGGCTTTGAAAACAACGTAGGGCCCCTTATATTTCGGAGCAAACTTCTTATTCTTCCCTATCGTCATATCAACGTTCCTTATAACGACAAACTCGCTGACTTCGTACCTTTTAGGATCTTTGCCGTGCTTCGAGAAGTAATTTTGGCTATACTCTTGAGCATTTTGGATGGCTTCATTGGCTTCAGCCCTGGTTTTGTCTAGATCGCGGGTGCCGTTCGAATTAAACCTTTCTGCAAAATATTCTGAAAATTCGTCTATGAACTCCCCTCTCTGCTCGACTCCAAAGAGAAGCATACTGGGGGATTTCTTGGCAGTGCTATGGTTGGAGTTGTTAATCGCGTATTCTACTTGTGCAAGCCGGTTCGACCAGTCGGCGTGATCGATAGGGTCGGTAAGCTTTCCTAACATGGCTTTGATTACCCTATTAACTCTTTCCACCTGTCCGTTTGCCTGAGGGGACGCCATCGCTACCTTTATGTGGGCTATATTACGTTTAAGAAGGAATTCTCTGAATTCCTGGGAAGTGAAACATGTGCCGCGGTCTGAAATGATTCTCCTCGGTCGGCTATAGTAGTTTTTTTTTTTTTTTAATTTTTATTTATTTATTGAATCTGCCCTGCCTAAGAGCCTAACAATAGGTTTTCGAATCTTAATCTATTCAATTAATTTACATCCCCTAGTTGGGATGAGTATTTTCTTAACTGGCCCTAAGAAAAGATTACGACTGGGCTGGTAAGTCATTCCTACGTAGTCTTGAGGTCCTGTTGACATGCAATAAAGGTCTTGCTAAATGATTTGGGTGTGATAAAAGCTTCGATACATATTTCGTCTTCCGTTGTTCTATTTCGGTTCGTACTTCTGGTATTCTCAAGTCGCGGTGAATGTTCTCATTTCGCATATACCAAGGTGCTCCGGTGATTGTTCGAAGGATTTTAGATTGCGCACGATGAAGGATTTCGATGTTGCTGCTGCTCGCGTTTCCCCATAACTCACATCCATAGGTCCATATCGGTTTTAAANTGCCTAAGAGCCTAACAATAAGTTTTCGAATCTTAATCTATTCACTTAATTTACATCCCCTAGTTGGGATGAGTATTTTCTTAACTGGCCCTAAGAAAAGATTACGACTGGGCTGGTAAGTCATTCCTACGTAGTCTTGAGGTCCTGTTGACATGCAATAAAGGTCTTGCTAAATGATTTGGGTGTGCTAAAAGCTTCGATACATATTTCGTCTTCCGTTGTTCTATTTCGGTTCGTACTTCTGGTATTCTCAAGTCGCGGTGAATGTTCTCATTTCGAATATACCAAGGTGCTCCGGTGATTGTTCGAAGGATTTTAGATTGCGCACGATGAAGGATTTCGATGTTGCTGCTGCTCGCGTTTCCCCATAACTCACATCCATAGCTCCATATCGGTTTTAAAACTGTATTGTAAATAAGCACTTTATACTCCAGACTCAGGGGTGAGCGAGAGTTAATAAGCCAGTGGAGAGAATTAGCCTTCAGCTTGAGATGAGTCCTTTTAGCCACTATGTGGTTTCGCCAANAATATACCAAGGTGCTCCGGTGATTGTTCGAAGGATTTTAGATTGCGCACGACGAAGGATTTCGATGTTGCTGCTGCTCGCGTTTCCCCATAACTCACATCCATAGGTCCATATCGGTTTCAAAACTGTATTGCAAATAAGCACTTTATACTCCAGACTCAGGGGTGAGCGAGAGTTAATAAGCCAGTGGAGAGAATTAGCCTTCAGCTTGAGATGAGTCCTTTTAGCCACTATGTGGTTTCGCCCAGTAAGTCGCCTGTCCAGGTGAACCCCTACGTAAGTGACATGATTGCTTTGTGGTATTTGTACGTTGTTTAAAGTCAAGGGCGGACAGTTACTCTTATTCAGTGTAAATGTAACTTGCTTACATTTTTGCTCGTTAACCTTTATTCGCCAGTTTGCGAGCCAATTGGCAACAGCTTCCATATGATTGCCTAGGAGCACAGTTGCTTGTAGAGGACACTTGGAGCGACTGATTATGGC